ATATTTTATATTTTATATTTTATATTTTATATTTTATATTTTATATTTTACATTTCATATTTCATATTTCATATTTAGACCTTTCAACTTACCCTCACTGACGCTGATCACATTGTTGGGCGGAAACGTGGGCTGGTTGTCGTTGACGTCCACGATGTGCACGCGTATCGTGGAGGTGCCCGTCATCTGGGGCACACCCTCGTCGGTGGCAATTATCTTGAGGCTGTAGACGTCGCGGATCTCGCGGTCGAGCACAATATTCGTTCGCACAATGCCGCTGAAGGCGGGCTCGATGACGAACGCATTGTCGTGGTTGCCGTCCACTATGTGATATCGGAGGCGTGCATTGGCGCCCTCGTCCGCATCGAAGGCCTGCACCTGGGCGACGAAGGTGCCTTTGCTGTTGCCCTCCCAGGCGGTGGCCACGAACTGGCGCTGCGAGAACTGCGGGCTGTTGTCATTCTCATCCTCCAGCTCGACCACCAGCTCCGCGTAGGTGGACAGGAATGGTGGCTCGGTGGTGCGTGCCACTACCACAAGGCGCAGCTCGTGCGGCTGAGTCGTGGCCAGGGCAAACGAAGAGCTGGCCAAGGCGCGTTGGCTCCTTGAGCTGTTCGTGGTATCCTGCTGCTCCAGCTGCTCGGCCTGCTCCATCTCAGCCTGCTCGTAGTGCATGGCACGGCCGCGACTGAGGGGCGCCAGCGTGGGCGTGGCAAAGCGATCGTAGTCCAGCAGTTGAGGATTTGCCACACGTATTTCACCTGTAGCCGCATCCAGCGCGAATATGCCATCATCATTCCCAGCGCCAAAGGAGAAGTTCAGCTTCTGCCGCCGGCCATCGCTGCGCACGGCGGCCACGTGGAGCAGCTTAGTGCCCGTGGGGGAGTTCTCGCGCAGCTTCGTCCGATAGGTTTCGTTCTGGAAGTGCAGCACGGGCACTCCGGGGCTGGGCTCGCCCACGAGCAGCTCGATCAGGCCGACGCTGCTCTGCGGGGGATTTCCCTTGTCTCGCGCGATAATCTCCAGCTGCAGCAAATTGCCCGTCTCGCTGGCCAGGCTCTGGGTGGCACTCAGGGCGCCCGTGTTGGGATTAATGCGAAATTTGCTCCGCATGGCAGCTGCAGTCAGCGTGCTGTCCGCCTTCAGGGCATAGAGCACATCCCCATTGGCGCCCTGGTCGGCGTCGTGCGCCTGCACCTTGAGCAGCGTCTGCCCTGGCTGAATGAGCGCCGGCACCTGCCCCGTGTAGGGATAACGCTCAAAGACGGGCTTGTTGTCGTTGACGTCCAGCACATTGATCTGCACGGCAACACTGCTGGAGCGCACCTCGTACCGTCCACAGTCGGTGGCCAGTACCATGAAGCTGTAGCTGGCCTGCAGCTCGCGATCCAGTTTGCTGTGGAGGGACATAGAGAAATGCAGTCAATTAGTATGCGGGGCGTCGAAAGGAATTCATAGCTGGAAGTCCGATGGATCGCTGATTAGGCATTATGCTTGGCCGAGAGTAAAAACAATCGAATGGGCATCATCTTCAGCGACACTAATTAGTCGCCCGCTGCTAGGCCCCAGCATAATCCCAGCCACAATTAGCATCACGAAATGATGTGGAATTAATCCAGTATCACGACTAACAAAGGGGATTGGCGAGAGGGTGGACGGGCTAGGCGCTTGCCAGGTAATTAAGTCATTTGCTTGCCAGCAAATATTGCTGTTGAAATGATCCACTCGTGTTGCAGCTAATCTGACTGCACACGGCACACAGCACAGAGAACAGTGCACAGAGCACGATGCAGGCCCCACTCGAGTGGCATTCCAGTATGTGGTATCTGCCACAAATAATAAACCAAAATGATTAAAATCCTAGCCATAGTCAAAGGGTTGAGCAAGTCTCGTTGCTCTCGCCGCTCGACTGCGATTGCATGTCGTCCAATAAAACGAATTTAGCAAATTACGAGCTCATCCAGTTTCAGCCGCAGTCAGCCAGCTCTCTAGCTCCGTGTTGCTGTCGAGCCTCATTATACTCTAACTACTGAGGCATTTACATTTGTTCACTAAATATGCTGCTGACTTATTGAGTTTGACTTTATGGCCAACACAAATTACTGATATACATATAATCAAAATATTATTACATTAGTTTCATTATTAAATACGTCTCTTTGCCTAGGCTCTGTTAGGGTATTCAGTGTACAGCTATGCTTGGCTCTCCTTTGCTTTCGGATTTTATGAATTGAATCAGTCAAAGTGAAGAAACTGGCTGCAGAAACATTCCGCTCGCCGTCGCAGTTTGTTGTTGTCTATTCAAAAACAACAACAGCAGCAACCACAGCAATGCCTGCCAAGGGTCAGTCAACAGTTTTGTTGTTGTTGTTGTTGTTGTCATTGTCGGCTGCGCTTGCTGATCATCAGACAGGCGAAGCAACAAGCGAGAGCCTCAGCAACTGCGCCTAGTCTTGTCCGGTCAGTCAGTTCGTCAGAGTCTCCACAAAAAAGTAGCTAGCAACAACAACAACAACAACAAAAACAGCAACAGACTGGACAAGCGGCAGCCACATTTTTGCTGTTGTCTTTTTTTATTTTTTAGCTGTTGTGCTGCTCCAATCCTGACTTTATTTAGCCCAAGCAGCGCGAGTCCAAGTCCAAGTACAAGAGCGCGACCGCGAAAGCGATCCAAGACTAACAACAACGTCACGAAATGTCTGTCCCGGCTGCACGTCTGTCCATCTGTCCGTCCGCGCTGTCCACTCTTGACTGTCGCTCTACAATTCTTCTACCTCGCCATGTGGTGCTGCTCTCAGTTCTCATCGTTGTTTTCCGACTTTTGGTTCGCTTTGGCTGGGTTGCCTGTTTTTTTTATTCCTGAATATTTTTTTTCCTCTTTAGAGTTTCTGTTGTTGGCTGGGTTTGCTGGTTGGCGGGGCTTTTCGTTTTTATTGTTTGCCGACAATCAGCGCAAGATAAAAATTGGTACATGACAGCGGATCGCGTTTGTATAAATGGCAAACACTGACGCTACTGTCAACTCAAGTGCTCCCAGTGCTAAAAGGCTAAAGCTAAACCCAAATCTAGAAAGGCATCGGGGGCAATGCATCAAAGCGAACAGAAGAGCTTCGAGTTGAATCGAGTAGGATCTGGCTGCATTTCAGGCCGGAACTGAGCTCTAGTAACGCAATTGTAGCACCCCAACACGATCCGTTCCCCTCTCTCACTCATTCCCTCTCTCTCACACACACACACACTCTCTGGGCATCAGACGGAACAAGCAATTGTTGTCATCATTGATTGTCAATAAGCATAAATTTGCACCAGAGGGGGCCCTCAAGTACAGAGAGCAGCGAGACCAACTCCAGGCCCGACCTTATAAGCCAGCCAGCTCTGCGAAGTAGCAAAAAAGTAGAGCCAATCCTTTTACACACACACACACACACACATATGCAGCTACAAGGCCCAATGCTATTTATAGCTGCTGCGGAGGGTTTTACCGGATTGTCGTTGCGTAGGATGTTGTCTACTTGTCGTAGTCGTAGTTGGGGATTCGCAATCGCAGTCGCATTAGCTCGCCTTGTTATTGAGGAAATTAAGTATTTCAATGTTTCACTGGCATTGTCCTTGCGCCGAGATCTAGCTGGCAGATAAGATCTTGCACTGCATTGACCCAAGACAAATATCCCTTTAGCTAAAGTCTAAAGCCTCAATTTGATGTGGCGCTACCTGGTCTGACTCTGCGTCTGACTCGGACTCTACCTCGGCATTTTGTTAGAGTAATTTTTATATCTTTCGGCATTTGAAGACTTACCCGACGGTGGTGATGAGTCCGCTGGTTCCGTCTATAGCAAACTGCCATTGCGTCTCATTGGCCAGGGAGTAAACCAACCGGGAGTTCACACCCAGATCGGCGTCGCGGGCGTTAATGCGCAGCACGCTGCTGCCGATTGGCGCATTCTCCGGCACAGTGGCCACATATTTGGGCTGGTCGAAGCGCGGCTCATTGTCATTCTGATCCTCCACGAAGACGCTGATGTTGCAGTGACCCTGATGGGTGATGGGCTGGCCGCGATCCGACGCCTGCAGCTGCAGCGTGTATCGAGCATGTTGCTCCCGATCCAAGGACCGTGCGCTCAGCTCGCCTGTCCGGGCATCAATGCTGAACTTGTTGCCCAGATTGCCGCCTGTCGTAGAAAGAGGTCAGAGGGAGAATAGCTTGACTTAGACTTGAGTCGATTACGGAATTTATTAGGGAATACGCACCAATGATGCTGTAAACGATCTCTGCATTGGCGCCTTCGTCCAGGTCGCTGGCCACCACCGTGTGAATGACGGACGATTCGCTGTTCTCCGGCACGGACAGCCCGTAGCAGGAGCCCGGACGGAACTCTGGCGCATTGTCATTGACGTCGCCGATGCTGATGATGAGCGTGGCCACGTCAAAGTGCTGGCCCGTTGCCGGCTCCGCGCTGCTCTCCGAGGAGCGTTGTTTGCGTATGGCCGCGGTGGGCGTGGCACTCATGCGATTGGCGTCACGCACGTAAATTGGCAACGTGTAACGGGACTGCGTCTCACGATCGAATTGGCCACGCGTCGTCACAATGCCGCGCTGCCAGTCCACATGGAAATGGTTGTCGGCCACCCCATTGGGTATTTCATAACTGAGATTCGCTGTTGTTTGCAAAGATGGGAGAAATTGGAGTGGGATATTATTAAAAACCAAGTGAAAAGTGTAAAGTCAAAGTGCAACAGATCTCTAGTTCTACTAGTTAATGATCATTTGTTTATACTTATTCCATATATTATCTATGTGCAAGTCTGCTTACCATTGTCGGATCCATGAAAGGCCTTGGCGGCTACCTGCAGCACAAAGCTGCCGCTGGGCACATTCTCCAGGATGGTCGCCTCGTAAACGGCCTGCAGGAATCGGGGCGGATTGCTGTGGCTGCCCTGCACCAGCAGCTGAAGGCTAAGAGTCGTATGCTGTGGTGAGGGTGCGCCGTGGTCGCTGGCACGGATGGTCAGAGTGAATCGGCCAGTCTTGTCCAGCTGCTCGGAGGCAGGTGGCAGCGTCTTGGCCAGCTCAATGATGCCCGACTGGGGCTTGATGCGAAAGCGTCCCTCGCCATTGCCGCTGACAATGTCGTAGCTGATGCGCCCGTTCTCACCCGCATCCCGATCCACGGCCACGATGTGCGTGACCATTTCGCCAATGCGTGTGGCATCGCTCACATACACTGTGGCTGCACCACCAGCACCACTTGTGCTGGGCACCACAAACTGCGGCGCATTATCGTTGGCATCCAGGATACGCAGCCGCACCGTGACCGAGGTCTGCAGCCGTTCCGTAACATTGGAGGACTGATCCAGCGCCTGCACAATGAGCAAATACTCCTGCAGCGACTCATAGTCCAGCGGCGCCTGCAGGCTCAGCGAGCCCGTCAGCGAGTCCAGCGCGAACAGCGGCGTCGCCCTCTCCAGGCTCTCGTTCAGCTGGGGCGAGTAGCGCAGCAGGCGGTACTGCAGCTCCCCGTTGGTGCCGGAGTCCGCGTCGGTGGCCGTGAAGTTGTGTATGATGGCGCCCACGGGCAGAGATTCGCTCACCTGCAGCTCGATCGGATCGAGCGGCCAGCGGGGCGCATTGTCATTGACATCGGCCACCTCGATCTTGACGGTGATCGCGCTGCTCTGCGGATTGTTGCTAGCCGAGGTGTCCAGAGCGCGTATCTCTAGCCGGAACTCCGACTGCAGCTCGCGGTCCAGCTGGCGAGCCACCACCAGATTGCCCGTGTTCCTGTCTATGTCGAAGGCACCCTCGATCAGGTCCTTGGTCAGCGGATTCAAGGTGTATGTGACGCACAGTGGATCGTTCAGCTCATCCAGGCTGTTGCTGCTAACCGGCGGCAGCTCCGCGCGCTCATTGGGGCTAATCGAGCCCACGACATGGCCCACGGTCGCATCCTCGCGTACCTGCGGTAGAGAAAATCGAAAAGAGAAGAATAAATAAGGAGTAAATAAATGCGGCAAAGGCAATTATAGATTATTTGCTGTTTGGGGCATTAAGCGAGTGGGAAAGGGAGGGCGCGAGCGGAGGACGCTCTACTTGACTGCGACGCGGTGCCTGGCCTGGCATGGCCCGGCCGGCCTGGCCTGGTCTGGTCTGTTCTGTTCTGGGCCGGGGTATCTTAATCTCAACAACAGTGTTGAAAATCCAATCTTAAAGCAATAATTCATACTTCAAGATTACGAAGGCAGCAAACATTTAAAAATTTCATTCCCCCAAAAACAACGCTCGATGTCGATTGCCGCCGCTGTCGCTGCTGCTGTTGCTGCTGCTGTTGCTGTTGCCGCTTCCCAGGCCAAACGCTTTGTTGGCCAGAGCGGATAGAGGGGCACGGTGGTGAACCACCAAACCACCAAGTGCCTGGCTTTGGCCGTGGCCAAGACATTGGCAATGGCATTAAAAAGAAATTATGCATTCCGACCAAGTTGGCGGCCCCGAAAATCACTGAAGAAAAATGTGAGCCGAATTGCAGGTTGACGGCCAGCGAGGGGCAGGGATGAGTGGTGCCGGGTGTATGGTATATGGTGTGTGTGGTGGTGCAGCGGCCACTCTTCGCATATAAGAATTTAATATGCAAAACCGCAAAAACCGTTTCGCAGCATAAAAACAAAAAAGGTTTTGCGTTGTTTGCCTCCTCGGCAGGGCTCAGCTCTCAGTGTGTATATGTGTGTGTGTGTGTGCATCTTCTTCTTTTTTTCATAATATACATTGAAAATATTGTTTGGGTCGCCAAAATGGAGACACAAAAATGACAGTCACGAGATTTATGCCGCAGCCAAGATTACGCAGGAAGAAGGTCTGTCGACTGCTGCTGACTGTGGTGCTGGTGGTGCGGCTGCCACTGCCACTGCCACTACCACTGCTGCTGCTGATTTGAGTGGTGCTCTTTGGTTTGGCTAACGACTACTGCTATGACTGCGGCTGACCACCAAATTATGCAAGGCAATATTGCTGCAAAAATGGACACTGCCAAAATGGCGCATGATTTGTTGTGTACTTTTATAGCTGACTGTATGCCAAGCAAGTTGTGGTAGTGCAGCTACATGCAGGGTGGCTGAAATTGCTTAATTACAAAGATACGTATTATATAGCGACTGCAGTCAGCTCAAAGCAGAGCTCGATTTGTTTGTGAGCCGAGCTGAGCCGAGTTAAGCCACTCAAGCTGTTCCCACTCCTGCGGCTCTTGCAACTCCTCCAGCTTTTTAACTGCTTGGTCAACGCCAACGCATAAGAACAAAGCGAGAAGAATGCAGATGCAGTTGAGGACAAAGCACGGAATCAAAGGCAACCGCCAACGAAACGCAACGAAATGTGTCAATTTTAATTGTTGCCGAAGCGGATTTAAAAGGCGAACCGCGGCCGGACGCACAGGGTCAGCTGACTGACAGACCACAGACAGAGCGAGAGCCAGAGCGAGAGCGGTATATCACTTTAGTTACTGAGCACGAGTGTGGGCGAGAGAGAGACAGAGACAGAGAGAGGCGAGAGGCAATTAAATGCATGTCAAAGCGTCGCAGTCATCAGACTTGGCTTTTCGTCCTCGTCCAGAAGAGTGTCGGAAATGCGGCAACAGCAACTGGATGAAGGATGAAGCGAACATGCTCAGGCGGCTCTGAGGGTCTCTGGCAATGGCAATGGCAATGAGAATGGGAATGGCTGGTGCTGGATTGCAGATAGGCATGTGTATGCAATAATGTGCAGAGTATGCAAAACATGTGCGAATCGAACGTGATAAAAATGTTAAGAGTCGCATCGTTTTCTTTAACTGCTACAGTAAAATGCCGAAATCTAAACAGCGCGACGAAACAACAAAAAACTAAAGCTGAGAGGCAGAGCAAGAACGACAGAGAGAGAGAGAGATAGAAAGTGCGAGCGAGAGATAAACAACAAATGATTAATACACTTGCAGAAAAGAAATGCAAGTGTGAGCTAAGATGGAATTAAAACTGAATTTCAAATGAACTTTTGTGTCCTAAACGAAATATTCAAATAACAAATATCTTCCCCTGACTTGAAGAACTATTAATATCGAGTTAAGAATAATTGGCCACATTTTTGTAGAAGTTTTTCTTTTAAATAAAATTAAATTATTCAGTTTCACTTTTGATAAATTGCCTCTTCTATATACATACATGTATAACGAGCATTTGCTAAAAGCTTTGTACAAACTAATCCTAACTGTCCTCAAATACTTTGATTCGACATTCCCTGTTTAGCTAAACGTGTGCCAATTCGCCTTGAATGCTTTTCATATTTTCTCAGGCAGTTAAAGCATTCGCTGTTAGGCAGATCCATTATAATGCTCAGTTGACGGTTACGAATTGCAGTTAATGGGAAAGCGGGAGAGCTGAGTGAAGCGGGATTGTCACAGTCACAGTTCACAGAGTGACAATTACGCGTGCGCCATGAATAACGAGAGTCAAGGAAGATGTTGTTGCCTACCAGTGCCGCCCCTTGCTGCCTGCGCCAGCACTGCGAATGCAAATCAGGAAGAGTTTGCAGCACTCGCACCCGCGCTGACCACCCTGAGCCGCGCGACAGGCCAGACTCGGAGCGCGCTGATGTCTGTTTCCGCGGCTGCAGAGTCGTGTTCTTGGCCATTGTCACGTGACGCCCGATGCTACAAATCATCCGCACAAAAGGCAGGCGACAAACGCGCTGATCACGACTGTTGTGGCGAAAAGAAGCAGGAAATCAAACGAGCCAAGCAGGAGGGACTTCGTGTAAAACTAGAAGCGTCAAATAGACAAAAGTTTTCCTGGAACCACCTGGAAGAAACCTGCTCTGTCTCTGCCTATGCCTCTGCCCCTGCCCCTTCCCCTGCTCCTGCCCATTGCTGTGGCCGCTGGGCAAATGACCCGCCCATAAATCTCTCACTCACCCTGAAGACCAGACTGGAGCTGGTGAACGTCGGCCGATTGTCATTCAGATCGAGCACCTCGACGCGCAGCATTCGCAGCGTCTGTTTGGGCGGATTGCCGCCATCGGTGGCGGCCACCGCCAGGCGATAGATGCTGCGCTCCTCGTGGTCGAGGACGACGCGTGTGCGAATCACGCCAGTGTTGGCATCAATGCTGAACAGGCCGTGCCCATCCGAGTCACGACCCTTCAGCAGCGAATAGTTGATGGATGCATTCTGGCCGTGATCGCGATCGATGGCGCGTATGCGCACCACCTCGGTGCCCGGTGGCTGCTCCTCGCGCACGCTAACCACATCCTCCTGCGGATCGGCTATCTCCGGCGCATTGTCATTCACATCTGTCACATGGACACGCACCGGTGCCCGGGCACTGCGCGTCGGCGTGCCCTGATCCCTTGCCTCCACCATCAGATCGTACAGTTCGCGCAGCTCTCGATCCAGCGGCTCGCGTGTGGTTATCTCGCCTGCAATTAGAGGGAAAGAGACGAAGCATTTTAGTTTAGTAATTAATCAAGTGTCAATGGGATATGCAAATGTTGGAATATGGAATACTCTATAGAGAATTTCAGCTATTTACTTATTAGCAAAGAGATTAGTATAAAGTCTGATCGAGGTAGATCAGATGCTTTGCAAAGAAATACGTAACAAAATAGCTTCTCCATCATTTGATAGCTCTCAGGAGAGCTCATTCTCAATATACGCTCTAGAGAGCAAGAGAGAGCGAGAGAGATAGAGAGTGAGAGCTACTGCTAACAATTGTTGATTAGTTTTGAAAATGTGGCTCGTAACTGGGTCGCAGATGATTAATGCCAAAGTGTTGGCTGGTGGTGTGCCAGTGGTGCTGGTGGTGCCTCCGCCTATTGCCATCAAAATGTCATGCCTGGCAGCGTGGCGGCCAAAAGAAAATCATGTCAGGAAAAACGAGTTTGCCAGAGCCTCTGTTGTTACTGCTGCTGCTGCTGCTGCTGCTGCTGGCAGGATTAGCAGCACGCGATCTCCATATTTAATTTAAATGAAGCGAGACGCTGACTGTGGCTCCTTTGCCAGCCAGGCCCCTAGAGCGGACACGCACACACACACAAAGAGACACACACACACATGCACAGTGGCCTGCAAAATGTCAACCCAATGATATTCCATTGACGGATGAGCTGACAGCGTTAAAACTGTTGTTGCTCAAACACTAATGGTCATGCGCTGCTCCTGGCCTGCAGCCGAGATAGTTGGCTGCCGGCTGCACCATCTAGCTGGCCATCTAGCCATCTAGCCATATCTCAAACAGATCGCATTTTATCGCTTGCCCCATCGTCAGCAGCAGCAGCAGCAGCGCCGTCGTCGTCCCCGTATGGGGAACTGGTTTCCGTTTGCTCGTGCGCGTTTGATCTATGGGCGACGTGGGCAAGGCAATGGCAAGGAGCAGTGCAGAAGCGACAGCCAAGTGGAGCAGTAATGAATGACCATGGGTCATGGCTGCTGGCTTGACAGTGGCTTCTGCTCGGACACGAACTCTAACGGCGTTGAGTGAGCTGTTCGGGCTGCGACATTTTGCGGATTGGCGGCTACCGCGCATCGCGAACATTGCGAGCACTAATTTATGGCAAGAGGATGCATCGACTCACCTGTGACGGGATGCACCTGAAAGCTGGAATTGGCTGGCAGCAGGCTGTAGCGTATGGCCGCATTCTCGCCCAGGTCCGCATCGCTGGCACTAACAACGCCCACAACGGCGCCGCGTCGCAGATTCTCCTCGATGCGAAACTCGTAGCTCTCGCGCTGGAACTTCGGATCATTATCGTTGGCATCCAGCACGCGGACCAGCACACGGGCGCGCGCATGCGCCGCCGGCGTGCCGTTGTCGGTGGCCAGGACGGTCAACTCATAGCGATCGCGGCTCTCTCGATCGAGTGCCGCACGCAGATAGATCCAGCCGGAGTTGGGGAATATGCCGAAGTGCTGGGCAAGATCGGCGTCCGGGCCGCCAGCGTTCGCCAGGCTCTGGCTGGTATTATCCGCGCCAGCGTCCACGATGCGATAGGTGATGCGCGCGTTGTTGCCCGTGTCGAGATCGCTGGCATTCACCTGGATGATCTGCAACAAAGAGAGTTGAGAGAGTTTGTGTTAATTTGGAGCAGCCAGAGATGGAGAGCGACAGAGACGGGGAGCGTCTCAAAGGAGCAAGAGGGAAAGAGATCTACATGCCAAACACGGCTGGCGGTCATCAATCATCCACTGAAGCGGCGGCATTGGAATCTCTGATGCATGTCTGCGTAAATCTCTAGAGGAATCCCTAGAACTGCAGCAACTCGTTTCAGCCTCGTGATGCCAAAAGATATAAAGTGATTTTATGATCAAAACTAGTTCAGCAGGCAGCATGCCGCATGCTGGATGCCGCATGCAACCGGCCTGGACACAGCAGTGGATGCAACAGCAACAGCAGCCGCAGCATCTTCTCTGGGGTGTTGAGATATTTTAAAAAAGATATGACGCCTGCCTGACAAAAGCGTGACTTTTACGGGCTGTTAATCAAATTTATGTTGCGCATTTAGTTTGCATTACAAAAATTTATTTTTCAATAAAACTTCAGGCAGTCGAACGTGGCGGGCAGCTGCTGCAGCTGCTGCACTCACAAAAATACTATGTGGCTAAAGAAAAGCCAATCAGAGCTATAG